TTATTTCAAATTGAGTTGCTACTAAATACTGACTAATATCTACCAAATGTATTGCATATTTATTGCAGAACTTTATTGTGCATATATCTAATTTTAACCTGTTAGCTTGCTTCCCATTTAGCTTAAGTTGTTTAAATTTAAGATGGTTTATGGCCCATAAAATTGGCATCTGTTAACTCATGAATCAAGTTACATTTCACAAAAGAAGAAAGTTGATTGTAAGGTTTGTGACCTCTTTTTGAACCAAAATACGGTTGTGTTAGCATAATCAGTTAGGTTAGCTTAATTGTGTATTTTCTAATCCTTCTGAAACCTATGTCTGCATTAAAAAAGAAATACTATTTAAATACTATTTAAGCTTATATATTATTTTATGGCAGTTTTAACCTAAATAATCATAAAAACCCATATAGCTAGCTATTGTTTAACACAAAAATTGGCATGATAGTAATTATTAATAGTCTAAAAACCCTTAAAAACCCCCAATCGGATATTTTATGACTTTTGCTAAAATGGTTTTGTTCATCATATAGTGTATGTTGTTAAATGTGGAATAAACAAAATTGCATCACAACACAACTTATTCTTAGCTAACACTAGAACTCCCAATAGAATCATTTTGACCCTATAGAAAGCAATGTTTGGAACCCCCTACACACATTTTGACATGAAAACCACTGTAACTATACTATTAGACTATAGACCACCATTTTATTATTATGATCTGTAATGAAATAATCTGAATCATTTGTGAATTGTAAAACCAGTAAAAACACCAGAGATTTAAACTGAAATTTAAATTCACATCTTGTTAACTCTTATAATGTAAAAACTTGAATGAAAATTAACAATTTAGCTTGAATTGTATAGATTATTAGCCTGTTTCACATTTAGCTCGATTAGCATGAATATTGTTCAAAACTAAAATATCCTGTGAAATAAACCTTATTGATATCAATTTAGGTTAAATTTTACAAATTCACACCTTAAACTGAAGCTTTGTGTCCAAAATGACTCATTTGGTTGTCACAGTGAGTTAGGTTAGCTTATAATAATTCTAAATCATTCTGAAAAATATTAGCTCACATGGAAAGAGCATGTTTTTACAGTGGAATAATATGTAAGTTTACATAATGCCTACAGTTTGTATCTATCTATCTAATTTTAAAATGTGTTTGGCATAAGACTAATTTGGAGGTACACTAGCTTTTGAGGTTGAATTTACACACAAACCTTCTAAGATTTAATGAATGTTTGGGACAGCTCTGTAGGCTACTGGTTTTTCCCAATTAAAGGCATGAAATCAACTGAAGAGAATAAAACGGAAGCCAAGTCTTTCCTTGTCTTTTTACTGGGCCACCAGGCATTGTGCCAAACAGCGCTTGCAATCTCTGGTAGGATATGAGGATCTTAAATCTTCACCCATTAAAACTTCACTGAGACACTCTGTTTTCTTAACAGCCACTTGTAAAGAAAACAAATATTGCAAGTATTGAGGAGATCTGGTTGACTCAGAGGCTGCATTTTTATAGCTGAGACGCTGGCTCCGAGATGCACTCGTACAGCTAATCCCACTCTCAGAGGAGAGCGGTAGGTATTGGCTTTGATGATAGAAATGGATTAAACAGATTACATTAAAGGCCAGTCTAATTGAACCAATCTATCCTGATTCTGCCGCTGTAAGATAAATGATGCGCAGGCCAGATAGTAGATATAGGTCGTGTGAGTGTGTGCTTGGCTCCAGGCTTCTCAATGGACGTTCTTAGGCTCGCTTGAAAAATACAGCAAAAGCACTTTAGTCTTGTTGAAAGAAGTTGAAAGAGGGACCACAGTGAAGATTAGCTTGTGAGATACACAAAGAAAACGTCTACAGGACGCGTCTGTGATTCTGCCATTTACTGTCAGATTATCTTAATTTATTCCAAGATAAAATGAACCCTTACATATATAAAAAACTTAAATATATAAGAGCAACCTTGCAGGCTGATTTAAGTTTCCGAGAACATACAGATGTGTGACCATCAAATAAAATAATAAAAGAAAAAAAAAGACAAACTTATTAATTAAATCATGTGCAGTGTTAAGAATCTTTTTGATTCAAGTGGATTAAAAACAAAACGGTTATGCGTTATGTAAATTTATAGATAATGGGAAAAGAAACATACATAGCCGCCATTATATTACATCACAAAGTGCTGCTAATGCGCAAAATGAATTTCATTAGTCTGAGCTTCACTGCAGAGTTTTAGTGTTCTATGATGGTCTAAATACTCTTTCAAAGGATTAACATTCAAAGGCACAGAATTAAAATAATGAAAGCAAGCACAGAAAACTAGTAACCGTATGGCTAAAAGAGATAAAATATGTATTTGCTGAACAGTATTCTCCCTCACATCAATAAGTGATATTTCAAGCCAATCAAATTCTGATGGCCGACGTAAGTCTGCACCACCACATTCTGCTTCTTAGTCTCTTGCCTCTTTCTTTAACTTTTGGATGATTACCTCTGTGTAGGGTTTTTTTTATTGACGGTGTCCAGCTGAAGTGAGCGTGACAGGGTGACCTTTCCCTCCAACCTCGTTATCAACGTGAACTCGTTAAGCAGGACTGTTTAATTAGCAGTAGAATGGCAATCAGGGAGAAGGCAGAGATCACTGTGGTCACTGACACGGATCAATGATCTTCAGGGAGCCTTCGCGCTCAGCAGCAGGGGACTTTTATACATGCCTGTGCAGGCTGGATGTTTATGCATACTTACATGCATGTATTAAATGTTTAATGCACTATTATTCTAAATCTATTAGTTGTAATGTTCTCGTTGAATCTAAAAATATCAGAAACTCAAAGTTGCGGAAATAACTGTTAACTTTCCAACATGACACCCCAAGACTGAGATATGTACAGCCAGTTTCTGAAGATGTCTCGTATAAAAGGCTCCATCTGTACTCCAACAGATACAAAATGGGGATAAACGTAAAAAGCTAATTTGATTTATATCAAAATTATTACAGTTTATAACCTTTTTAATGGCTAAGCTCGCTGCAGTGTTTTGGAATGTGGCTGCAGGGATTTCCTACTGCAGATGTTGGATGAGGCCGATCAGGTCCAGGCTCATATTTGATGTTCCAGTTCTTTCCACAGATGCTAGATTTCGGTTATAGTTTGT